CTAGTAAGTTGCTTATGGCAAGAAAGAATAGCCATAATTCTTTTGAAGTTCTATTCCAAATATTTCCTTTTTTGTTGTTGGATTTTTGTTTTAATAGTGAGGTGTGTGTGTGTGTGTGTGTGTGTGGTGTGTGTGTGTGTGTGTGTGTGGTGTGTGTGTGTGTGTGTGTGTGTGGTGTGTGTGTGTGTGTGTGTGTGTGTTTCTACTTTTTTCATCAGTTACTCTCTTGTAGTTATATGTGGTTCTTGGGAGGGGTCTAATCCACTATTATGTTTGGTGGTTCTCACTCATTATGGGTCGTTTTAATTGTGAATTGTAATTTAGCATTGTGATGGGTTATCTTCTGTGGGGCTTTGAGTTCAAGGTGTGTCCTTCTCAGAGGGTATTTGTATTTCTTTCTACCAAGCTTGGTGGAGAAGGAGAACCGCCCCCCCCCCCTTTATTTTAGTTTTAAAAAGGCATATATTCCTTTTCTTTTTTGTTACTATAAAAATGATACATGCTGGGCCAGCCGAGTGGCGCGTTGGTTAAGAACTGGCTTGGGATGCCAGAGGGCCCCGGTTCGGATCCCACATATGAGGGCCAGTGACACTGCTCTCTACAGCTAAGATGCTGAACAACAGCTCAACCTCGGAGCTGGGCTGCTGTGGGTCACCGGCGATGGCATGGGCTGCAGCCCCTGTGGCAGTGGGTTGCCATAGGCTACTGTGTGTAGCCAGCAGCCAGCGTGAGCAGCCAGCAGCCGCTGTGAGCGGCCATCCAGAAGCTGGCGACTGATCTGCCTCACCCGGGAAGCGCGCAATGATGGTACCAGCTTGGGCCCAGTGAAGCGACATCCTCCACAACTAGACTGAAGAACAAAACAACAGCAACTTGTCTGTTCCCCTTTCCCTGATTCCCCAATAAAATCTTTAAAAAAAAAAAAAAAGATACATGCTGTGTAAAAAATATATAAATAGGAAAGAGTACAAAACATGAATGTGAAATGCCTTTTCTTGTTTGAATATGTGATATTAGAGAGGGGCATAGTAGACATTGATTAATCATTGATGCTGATAGAAAAATACAAGATTATACACATTCATGTAGTGAGTATTGTTAAACTTGTCTCTTCTACCCTCACTCTTTTCCATAGTTGGAGAGTAAAGGTTGTCAGTCATTACAGATAATATATTTGAACATGATACCTTTCGTTATCATTTATTATAGAATGACTTAAACTAGGGAATGAATAGTCTTTCTTTCTTTTTAAAGATTTTATCGGGGAATTGGGGAAGGGGAACATTGTGTTTTTCCAGGACCCATCAGCTCCAAGTCAAGTTGTCCTTCAATCTTAGTTGTGGAGGGTGCAAGCTCAGCTCCAAGTCCAGTCGCCACTCTCAGTCCAGCTGTGGAGGGTGGGGGGCAGCCCCCCATCCCATGCAGGAGTCGAACTGGCAACCTTGTTGTTAAGAGCACGCGCTCTCACCAGCTGAGCCATCCGGCCACCTGTTGGCAGCTTAGCGGCAGCTCAGCTCCAGCGCAGCTCACTGGCCCATGTGGGAATTGAACTAGTGACCCTGTTGCTCAGAGCTTGCACTCTGTTTTTTTCTAAAGATTTTATTGGGGAATTGGGGGAGGGGAACAGTGTTGGGGAATCGGGGAAGGGGAACAGACAAGTTGTCCTTTTGTTCTTTAGTCTAGTTGTGGAGGACATCGCTTTACTGGCCCATGTTGGTAGTATCATTGGGCTCTTCCCAGGTGAGGCAGTCACTCACCAGCTATTGGACGGCCGCTCACGGCGGCTCATGGCAGCTCACGAAAGTGCATGCCAACTGCCCGCTAGTCTCACTGCAGCCTATACCTTCCCCGGCGACTCATGGCAGCCCAGCTCCAGGTTGAGCTGTTGTTTGCCACCTTAGCTGTAGAGGGCGCAGCGTCACTGGCCCTTGTGGGATCCGAACCAGGGCCCTGCTGCTCAGAGCTGGCGTCACAAGCCAACTCTTAACCAACGCACCACTCGGCCGGCCCAGAGCTCGCATTCTTAACCAACTGTGCCACCTGGCCTGCCCAGTCTTTTTTTTTTTTTTAATTAAAGTTTATTTGGATGACAATTGTTAGCAAAGTTACATAGATTTTATGTGTACAATTCTGTAATACATCATCTATATATCACATTGTGTGTTCACCACCCAGAGTCAGCTCTCTTTCTAAATAGTCTCTTAACAATGAAAGACCAAGGTTTTTGGTTCCTAAGAAATGGAATCAATGGGTTAGGAAGAGAATTATGATTTCTTAGTAGATCAAATGAAGTTTTAAGAATGAGGATTCATTGAAATAAAACCATGCCTATATGGTCAGTTAATCTATGAGAAATGAAGCAAGAATATACAGTGTGGTAAAGACAGTCTATTCAATAAATGGTGTTGAGGAAACTGGCAGATCCATGCAAAAAAATGATACTAGACCACCTTCTTACATCATATACAAGAATAAACTCAAAGTGGATTAAAGACTTAAATGTAAGGCTCCAAACCATAAAACTCATAGAAGAAAACATAGGCAGTAAACTCTCTGACATTGCTTTTAGTAATATTTTATCTGCTATATCTCCTTGGGCAAGGGAAACAAAAGAAAAAATAAACAAATGAGACTACATCAAACTAAAAAGTTGTTGCACAGCAAAGGAAAACGTGAACACAATGAAAAAACAAGCTAGTGATTGTGAGAAGATATTTACCAATGATACATTTGATAAGGGGTTAATACCCAAAATTTGTAAAGCACTCTTCGGCCAGCCGAGTGGCTCAGTTGGTTAAGAGCTCACTCAAGAGTGTGAACTCTGAGCAACACTGGTTCGATTCCCAGCCTGAGCTGAGCTGCCGCCGAGCTGCCAACAGGTGGCAGGATGACTCAGCTAAAAAAAAATTTTTTTTTAATTGTAAAGCACTCTTACAACTTAACACACACACACACACACACACAAACACACAAACACACACACACACACACACACACACACACAGAAAAACCCAAAAAAACAACAATCCAGTTAAAAAATGGGCAGAGGACCTGAATAGACATTTTACCAAAGAGGACATACAGATGGCCAATAGATACATGAAAAGATGCTCAATGTCATATTAACCATCACAGAGAATTGCAAATTAAAACCACAATGAAATATCACCTCACACCTGTCAGAATGGCTATCATCAATAAATCAACAAACAAGTGTTTGCAAGGATTTAGAGAAAAAGGAATCCTTGTGCACTATTGGTGGGATTGCAAATGTGTGCAGCTACTATGGAAAACAGCATGGAGGTTCCTCAAAAAATTAAAAATAGAACTACCTTATGACCCAGCAGTTCTACTTCGGGTATCAATTTAAAGAAATACAAACACTAATTCAAAAAGATATATGCACCCTGATGTTCATTGCAGCATTATTTACAATAGCCAAGATACAGAGGCAACCTAAGTGCACATCAGTAGACAATTGGATAAAGAAGAAGTGGTACATATGTACAGTGGAATATTACTCAGCCATAAAAAATAGTTAAGTCTTACTATTTGTAACAACATAGATGGACCTATTATGCTAAGTGAAATAAGTCAGATAGAGGAAGACAAACACCACGTGATTTTACTTATATGTGGAATCTAAAGAAGAAAATAAACGAACAAACAAAACAGAAACAGACTCATAGATGCAGAGAGCATGTTGATAGTTGTCATATGGGAGAGGGCTGGAGGTTGGGTGAAAAAGGTAAAGGGATTAAGAGGTATAAATTGGTAGAAAAATATTCACAGGGGTATAAAGTACAGCATAAGGAATATAGTCAATAGTATTGTAAGAAACTGTGTGGTGCCAGGTGGGCACTAGATTTATTGGGGGGAATCACTTTATAAATTATATAAATGTCTAATCATTATGCTATACATGTGAAACTAATATAAAATAAGATTGAATATCAATTGTAATTGAAAAATAAAAACTAATTAAAAATTTTTTTAATTAAAAAAATAATAATGAGGATTCATCTTCAGAGTAGTGAGATAAATTGGATCTTCGGTCCTTTGGGAGAAGATCAACCACAGTCTAAACTGGAAACCCCTCAGTTGTTTCCCAAGTGAACAGGTCTTCCTGATGCACTGCCCAGGGAAGCCAGCATACCCCAAGTCCAGATACAATACCTACCTTCTGTAGGCTAGCAGGCAAACTTTGGCAATCAGTGGAGGTCTAAGACTATGAAATTTTAAAACACAACATCACTATATTACTCAAACAAATGGATGCTTTCTATATACCAAACTTGCCCAGTTTCCTCCTACCTCTCGCTGTTTTTTCTCAGTTTGGAGTTTCTCCTGACCACACAGATGCTATAATTTGAACTACAGCCTTGCATGAGAATAGGCCCCTACTTATAAATTACAAGGGAAGACTTCCTTTTAGGCCAGAGACCAGATTACAGTAGGCTTCTATTTCGTGTACGTATCTATGTCAGTTCACTCTTTTATTGAGGTGTAATGCTTTGAAAGTCCTTGCTTTGTACGTGAAGTCTTAGTTCCAATTTCTAGCCTTTACCTGTGCCCTTGCATGGCTATTAAAACCCAGTTCTCTGCCCCTGCAGGTCAGTGATGGCTTGTTACTACTCCAGTTTGGTTCTCTGTTTGCTTTTTATCCCAGCAAATAAAGTTACATATTCAAAGGTTGTTAGCTGTTTTTCACCCAGCACGTCTAGATATTATGTATATCAGGAAATTTTTAGTTATCTATTTTGTCGTTATGCCTGAAAAGGAACTCACTGCTGTTTATTTATTATTTTATTGTTAGGAGAGAGAAAAATCACCTATAATCCCACTGTGCTAACATAGCAACCAACAGTCTTCACGTGTTGTCTATATGCAGATACATATTTAAATCATTGCAATCTCTGTTGTTTTTTAGAATACAAAGGATCTTTTAGCCATTTACTATACATATTACTTTAATTTTTATATCTTCTTTTTCTTTCCAGAACAATATAGCTGAAGTACAAGAATTGCATTCTGAATTAATGTGGAAGGATTTTATAGACCACATCAGTAGCCTCCTACATAGTGTTGAAGTGGAAGTCAGTTACTTTGCAGCAGGAATTATTGCCCATTTAATATCAAGAGGTGAACAAGCGTGGACGCTGAGCCGTAGCCAGAGGAATTCTCTCCTGGATGATCTGGTAAGGTCATTTGGTATTTTCTGGAAGCATATAAACAGCATCCATAGTCGTTAAACTGTCAAAGCCTCATAATGCAATATTGCAGTGCTAAATAAATATTGTAATCCTTTGTTGTGTTTCTTGTGTCTTGCAGCATTCAGCTATTTTGAAATGGCCAACTCCAGAGTGCGAGATGGTAGCATACAGGTAATTAGCAAGATAATTAATATTAAGCCAATAACCTAGTCATTTTGCTTGCCTAGACATCATTCCTAGTAGATGTATAATTTTTCCCTCAGGCATCTGTCTTCCTACTGGCTTTTAAAATCAGCAAAGTATTTTTACTTTTCTGCTACCTATCATTCATCAGTTCTTCTTTCATTCTACATTTATTGAAGACAAGTGCCAGAGATTTGTTCTGTGCTCTTGAAATTCAAAGATGAGTAAGATGTGGTGCCTACACACAAGAACCTTACAGCCTAGTAAGGGAGACCAAATGTAAATAAGATATAATTCACTATTACACTAGTTTTGTGTATAGAATGCTATGAAATTAAAGATGAGAGTACTTAAATCTGCACTGGAATATAGGAAAAAGTTTCCAGAGGATAAGAATTATGAGCTGAGTTTTCAGAGAGAATTAAGTAGGAGCAGAAGATTTTAGGAATAGGAAGCAGTATATTAATGCAAGGAGGTCCAAAGCAAGATGACACATTAAAAGAACTAGAAGCAGTAACAAATTAGTTTGGGGAAACAGTTTGTAATAAATTATTAAAGTTCCTACTGGATGCCTAATTCTGTTTATGACAATTAGGTGACTTGATAGCTAAGTTATTAATTACCTGACATGTTCCAGATTGCTGCATAAATAGTGTTATTACAAGTTATTTTTGTGGTCTGCATCATAAGACACAAGATCACTATATTGCTCAAACAAATGGATGGTTTCTAGATACCAAACTTCATAAATGCTGATGCTGCCAACATTTTTTATTCCCCCAACTTAAGTTCTACCCGTTTTGGAGCAGATGACCAGTGGAAATAGGCCAATTCTAGACCACCTTCATGGCGTTCTACCAGTTTGTTATCAACTAACTTCTCCTTTTCTAAGTTTTCCAACCAAACTTTGCTATTCTTCAAATGTGTATCTTCAATACCAAAGGAGTACTTCTGAAAACATGTTTTTCTGTGTTAGTACCTTGTCTGGTCACCTTCCATCTTCTGTACCAAGACTTGTCAGAATACGATCCTTTCTCAAATGGCTACGACAAAGGAAAGATATATTATCATTCATTTATATTAGTTTAAAAATAGTTGGATGAAATTTCTAGAATGAAAAGCTTAGGAATCATTGCTTTAGAAAATGACACTTACGATAGGTTGTAACTTCTTTTCTTTTGAACTTTTAGGTCCTTTAATCCATTTTTCCCATTACTTGGCTGTTTCACAACACCAGGAGTCCAGCTATGGGCAGTTTGGGCCATGCAACATGTCTGCAGCAAGAATCGTATGTACCAAAAAGAAACTATGTTTTTCTTTTTCAAGAGAAATTCTTCTTACATAGGAAAGCCATTTCTGAATTATGTATTGAGGTGATTTTTAAGGACATAGACTTTAAAAACCACAATGTAAGAGAATCTTAGTTTATAAACTAAATTTATTCCCTCAGAATAAATACTAGATACTGAATGACAATGGTGAAGGAAACTTACACTGTTGTAACCTCTTGGAATATAAAGATTAGGATCCTACAATGAGCTCATTTGTTCAGCAGAAAGTCTTAAGAAGAGCTAATGTTTATGGTACATTACAGTGCCCAATCCTCACCTACACAAAATTCCATGGATGAAGATATTGTTCTCAACACCCATGGTTTATGGAGAAGCAAACCATTTAGATAAGATTTTGTATCATTCTTTTTTGAAGGTTTGTGATACAACTCTTTGTCACTTATTTATTAATATAAACTCATTCCATTAATGATTTGAAACACTGCACAAGAAACACATAGAACCATTAATAGTGAAGTATAAATTAAAGTTTGTTGAAATTAAAAATCAGGATCAAGGTAAAATAATTTGAAAAAAATTAAAGAGTGGAAAAGTAGTAGAATATAGATACTTAGGCCGTACATAATGATTCATACACTTTTTGTGGCTGGGCTGCAAATAATCAGCTACATGGTTCTCTTTTCATATTAGGGGGCTAAAACTTTCCATATCCTCAGGGAAGTAAAGCTTTTCTAAGCAATTAACTTCAAATTAAATTTATTTTCTAGGACCTTAGAGGGACCATATTATAAGTAACCTTACATAAGAAATGTAAGAATTGTTTTTTAGCAAATCTTACAGCAAATAGCAGTAACATTTTGTTATATTCTTTCTCATTGCATTCTTTCATGAAAATTCAGCGCATACCACAAAAAGGCAACTCAGTAAAAGTTCTTTTGTGTTAGATGGACAGAGGAGGAGGGTTTAGGGAATGGAATGTGACAGAGAAAGCTGCTTTGTACCCACCTAAATTTTCACCTGGAGTTTTTTCTGGCTCCTCCTCTTATAGACTTCACTATAAAATTTTTCTTTTACTGTACCCACAGATTCTGAGAACTTCCTATTTTCTTAATAGTTTATCCCATCTTATACCCAGCCTCTAATCTCTAGGCTTCTTTCCTCATTATTCAAGAATGGACTTTTCACAGTTCCATAGAATAAAATAAAACATAACTAAATAATAGTGCATTTTCATATGTGTTTGTTTTTGTGACTACTTTTATGTGCCAGTGTTCTTTCAGGTTTACTCTGTGGAGTGACCAATCTGAAGAATTTATTCTAAAATCCACTATAATTTGGGGAATGTTAGAATATTTTATTTCCAACTCAGGTAGTTCAGGTACCTATTTTCTTGCTTCCTGGCTTAGTTTGTGTATATTTAAATGGAATTTACTTCTCAGTTTGCATTAAAAAATTTTAATGCTGGTTATAGCTTTTAATAATTAAGAGATAGTATAGAGTAGTGGTTAACAGCACACAGGATCTACTAGATCAAATCATGTTCCACTTATTATATATGCCATCTTGAGCGAATTATTAAGCCCGGGACCTCAGTTTCCACATTTGTTAAACGGGAGTAATAATAATACTACTTCACACATTATAATGAGCATTTTTCCATATTTTAGAATGTTTTGACAACATGATTTATAATAATCACATAATCTTTATTATATGGTATATTAGTTTCCTAGGGCTACCACAATAAAGTACTACAAATGGATGGCTTAAAACAACAGGACTGTTTTGTCTTTCAATTCTAAAAGCTAGAAGTCTAAAATCAAGGTATCAATAGGGCCATGCTTTTTCTGATGGCTCTAGGGGAGAAACCTTCTTTGCCTGTTCTACCTTCTGGTGTTAGATGACAATCCTTTACATTCCTTGGCTTGCAGATACATCACTGTAGTCAGATGGCCATCCTCTCCCTATGTATCTTCACATCGTGTTGTGTCTGTGTCTAAATCTCCCTTTTTAGTAAGTACACCAGTCACGACCTCATCTTAACTAATTACATCAGTAACAGCCCTGTTTCTAAAGTCACATTCTGAAGTATTGGGGGTTAGGACTTTAACCAACCTTTTTGAGAAGACACAATTCAACATGTAACATATGGCTATACATTCAGTAAATGAACTTACCATTTACTAGACCCTGGCACAGCAATTTTATTGAACTGGGGAGACAGAAATCAGAGTTTGGCGAGACTGAGCTGCCTGGAATTTGTAGACCAGGGGAATGCAGAGGTGCTAGCTATATCTAGAAAACACTTCAGAGATCTACATAAGGGTTTCTTAAATCTTTGGCTGATTACTAAGCATGCATGCCTAGGGTGAGACTCCTTGAGACCTGATAAAGAACAAATACCAAGGAGCTGCTAACTGAACAGCACTTGGAACTCACACAGGTTGGGAAATATTTGAGTTCTAAACAGTGGAAATAAATACCCAGGGCATTCAATTCAGATGCCAGAAGAGCCAGAAGAGATTAAACTAGCCGTAAAATAAAGCCATCTTTAGGGAAACCTAACAAAGCTTAAAAACAAGTCTTGAAATGGTCAGGCTGCTCTGCAAATAAATTAACTGTCTGCCAAAGAAAAACTAAGCACTCTTTTTTAAAAGACAACAAGGGCCGCCCGAGTGGCACATTGGTTAAGAGCTGGTTTGGGGGCCGGCCAAGTGGCGTGATGGTTAAGAACTGGCTTGGGACGCCAGAGGGTCCCGGTTTGGATCCCACATATGAGGGCCAGTGACACTGCCCTCCACAGCTAATTGCTGAACAACAGCTCAACTTGGACCAGTGAAGCAACGTCCTCCACAACTAGACTGAAGAACAAAACAACAGCAACTTGTCTGTTCTCCTTCCCCTAATTCCCCAGCGCTGTTCCCATCCCCCCAATTCCCCAATTAAAAAAAAAAAAAGAATGTGAAACAACTTGCCAAAAATTATATAACAACTTCAGTTTTGTGATAGCTTATATAAAGTTAAGCATACATTTAGCATTTGCCCAGCATTCTTGGTATTTCCTCAAGATCAATGAAATGAAAAGTCCATCAAAAAACTTATACAAGAATGATTATAGTATTTTTTTCATTATAATGAAACACTGGGGTGGGGGGAGAACAATCCAGCAAATGTCCATCAGTACAATAACATTAAAAATATTGGGTTGTCGGAAAAGTCATAACATATTTTTTCTACGTTTTTCGTTGCAAAAATGCATCATGACATTTCCGACAACCCCATATGTGGCATATTCCATACAGTGGAATACTTCCCAGCTTAAACATAAAAACAAAAAACTACATAGGCATAACAACATGGATGCATCTCAAAAACATACTGAACAAAAGTAGACACAAAAGAATACATACTGTATGATTTCATTTGCATGAAGTTCTAGACCAGGCAAAAGTGTCTATGTACGGAAATTAGAACAGTAGTAGCCTGGGATGAGGAATGGAGGGGAGACTGACTGCAAAGGTGCACAAAGAAACTTTTTAGTTGTTGAAAATATTCTACACCCTGATTGTGGTGATGGTTACACAAGTATATACACTTGGCAAAACTCATAAACTAGATTAAATTTTATTTTATTTTAGTTTGAGTAAATTATTTAATAAATATGACTAAAACAAAAAAAAACCTTTATAAGTCATATGTACAAAAAATATTTTTATAAACAAAAAGCAAAGAAAATATTTAGAAATAAAATTGCATGTACACTATGAGTGCCATTAAATTTTTTAAAAAGGAAGTGCATAAAAATATAACAGTACCTATCTTACCTGTGATTCGGGGTCAAATAAATTTTCTTTTCCAGATTGTCTGTCTTAAGGTTATGATTAAAATATAAATATACGTTCAGAGGGTGCCAAAAAAAATGTATACACATTTTAAGAAAGGAAAAAACTGTATTAAAATTACGCTGATGATAACCACTTTGAACACCTCTTGTAATTGCAGAAGTCAAATGTGACTTGTATTCATCTTTTGTTATCAGTATATATTGAGTATTAAATCTTAATAGTTTTTTCCTTTCTTAAAATATATAGTTGTATACATTTTTTGGCACCCTCTGTATATATAAATGGTATGTGTGTTATTTATGTGTGGGGCCTTGCAGTATAGATATATCATTACAGAGATATTTATCAAGCTGTAGCATATGTTAGTGGTCAATAACAAAACAGCTAAAATTTAAATGAAAAAAGAACTTTTTTTGTGGAATAATTTTTAAGTGTTTTAAGAAAAGCTCTGTCTCTTGTTTTATTTCAGCCTCAAGGTATTGCAGCATGCTGATTGAGGAAGGAGGATTGCAGCATTTATACAATATCAAAGAACATGAACAGACTGACCCCCATGTCCAACAGATTGCTGTGGCCATTCTGGACAGCTTAGAAAAACACATTGTACGCCATGGGAGACCACCTCCCTGTAAAAAGCAGCCCCAGGCCAGACTAAATTGATAGCCATAGGTAATTGGATAATTGAATCACAAGAATCCTTTTTGTGATGTTGGTTCATTTGGAATATCTTAACCTTCTGTGATGTTTTGGGGTTTCTATGACAAGAATCATACATCAGAATGGGATTAACGATGTACAGTACTGCCCGTGTGAACAGTCTCTAATTTGTCTTGTGATTTTTAACATATGAGGCAAGAAGGGTCCCTTCCTTCATCATTGCCTTTTAGGAAATTTTCCACATCTTTCAGTGTTTGAACTTACCCGTGCTTGAAATTCTACAGTTTTATGGTAAAGTTTGCACGAACCCTTAGACCAGACGTTTCTGATCTTAAAGACCCTTCCAATCAGTTTGCAGCTTCAGATAAGCTGTTAACATGATTTCTGGCACTGCTTCAGTTGTAAATTTTATACTGCTTCTGTATAAACTGCCTTCATTCTATGTCTGTGTACCTTTTATAAGATGTCCTTCTTAGTGAGAAAGAATGGAAATCTGAATCCTCTCCTTCCAAAAGCTACTTACTGGCTGGAGCCTATGGCTGGCAGAAAAATATGTTAAAAAGAAAAACTATTAAGGGAGAAGAGAATTTAGGAACTGGGAAGAGGTCCACTCTTATGGTATAGTTTTTACACTGGGGCAAGCTATCCTTCTGGAGCCCACCTCTCCTTAGGCAGTAGCTTGTTCTTCACATCTATTCATGGAAGCGTGAGCTGCTGCTTCCTACACAGACGGCTGGTTATTCTCTAGAACTAGTTCCCCAAGCATCACAGTGTAAAATATTACAGCATTCTGTGTTAAAAGTTAAATGTCTAAATCTCTATATGCCACATTGTTGTAAAAATGTGAATTTTTAAAATGTCTCTTGTTAAAACTGACCATCTTTTCTCTCTATTTCAAAGTCATTTTATTCAGTGGAATAGAGACTACATATGGTGTTACCTGCTCAGTTAAAATACAATTAACAACAGTAAATGTCACCATGAGAAGTTAAATTTTCTTTTGTTTCAAAATACATGTATCTTAATGTTTTCATGTTGGAGAAAGATGTCCACATCTCACTGCCAAAAAATGAACAAGAAGAATTAGACTATTGTTAAATGTAGTGATGCTAGTTGTAGTGTATAAAAGGGTTATTTTTTAGACAATTGTCTTTCCTTTAAGATACCTGCTACAGTATAGTAAAGAATCAGTTATCATTATATCAATAATGGCGGTTGGGAGGCAGCAAGTCATCAAGAAACTTAATTCCCATTTAAAATTTTAGTTTGTGAATAAGGTTAATCACAATCTCAGATGACTGTATTTTTTTTATACATGGCCAAAATGTTTTCAATTGAGATTTTAAATTGTATGTTTAAATTATGGTGATTATTCAGAAGCTTTTTTTTTTTTAAGATTTTTATTGGGGAATTGGGGGAAGGGGAACAGGCAAATTGCTGTCGTTTTGTTCTTCAGTCTAGTTGTGGAGGACGTTGCTTCACTGGCCCAAGTTGGCACCATCATTGCGCTCTTCCCGGGCGAGGCAGATCAGTCGCCGGCTTCTAGATGGCGGCCGCTCACAGCGGCTGCTGGCAGCTCACGCTGGTGGTGCTTGCTACACACGGTAGCCCATGGCAACCCACTGCAGCAGGGGCTGCAGCTTACGCCATCGCCAGCGACTCATGGTAGCCCAGCTCCAGGTTGAGCTGTTGTTCAGCATCTTAGCTGTAGAGGGCAGTGTCACTGGCCCTCATATGTGGAATCTGAACTGGGGCCCTCTGGAGTCCCAAGCCAGCTCTTAACCAATGCGCCATTCGGCCGGCCCGGGAAGCATTTTTATTTATTGGGTTGTCGGAAAAGTCATGACGCATTTTTGCAACGAAAAACAGAGAAAAAATACGTCATGACTTTTCCGACAACCCAATAGAAAGGAGCTGGTTTGTTAGTATGCTGATAACATTTTTGACATATACATTTCATACCACTATTGCAATAATCATACTTGAATTATTTGGTATTCCTCCACAGGGATGAAAATTAAACTTAAAAAAAAGTGTAAGTATTTAGAGCCATTAAAAACCAAATTAAATTGTGAGTTAACTGACTTAATTGGTTTAAGAAATTTTTATAGGTGCAGGATAAATTTTCACAGGTTAAGTCTATTTCAGAGGAAATGGAAAATTCTTTAAAATTTTCCCCATTTTCTGAATTTTAATGTCTAAGGCAAAATGTAGAAAATAGGACAGCATACAATAGCTTGGAAATTTCTACTAGCTATGTTGATCATTTCCAGGTCTCCTAGCAGGTGTAGTTAAGGGAAAGCCTATTTGAGAAGTTTAACTTCAAGTTTCTCTTATATCCTGTTTAAATAAAAGTGCATGTACCTTATAGACTAATCTTAAATTTTTGTCTTTACAAATTGTTTTCACAAATGGCTAAAAATATACAGAAAACAATAAATCTCTTCATTACTCAGAATAACTTGTTGATAGATGAAGACTCAAAAATATTTAAATTTACTACTTTGAACACTGGTAATGGCCAGATACCTCTGAGTCTTAAAATAATTGGTCACATCCCAAATATATAAAAATTGTAGTGCCTTTGTGGTTGGGATGGTTCTTAAAATTGTGTATCTGATTAAGGCACAGAATTGTCTTGAAGGTCTTGAATCTGGCTGAAATATATTAGATGTATATAATGGAATAATAAGCATAACTGGCCTGTCCCTACAGTTAGAATCTATTAGGCCTCCCTTTAGCATTTGTATAATAGAATATAACAGTACTTGGTGCCTTCAGGTTACCTCTTCAGTGGCTTAGAGGTACTGTTTCAAGCACAATTTAGACAGGTCAAACCACTCATTGCTCAAATCATAGGTGTGCTCAGATATTGTAAAATATCACTGCATTGGTCCACAAACAACAGCAAGGTTTAGATCTACTAAAAAAATGAAATTAGACTTTCTAGAGCGTAATGATGCATGTTGGTATCATTGAGTAAAACAGAACAGTAAGAAATTAAAGCAAAAGTAATTAAGCCATCTCATTCGTTCCATTAAATAAGTTTTGCTGTGGTCTTTATACTCTAAAAAATATTTTTTTGTTTCTTTTTACAGTTGAAAAGAAACATAAATCAAGTAGTAATAGTGGTTAGTTTACCCTCTGGCCAAGGACTCAGTGGCTGTTAATCTTGGTTGAAGATTTTAAAAATCATATCAGACTGACAGTTCCAGGAATTGACCTTAAATATTGCTGCTCCTCACTCCTGGACAGAAACACTGTTTAGTGGCAACTGACAACTTAAGTGAATTACCAAGATGGAGGTGAATTACTGTAAGGCTGCTATGGAAATTTAATTTTATGATATCTTTTTATTTCAAACATCCAAAGAATCAAAGATTCATGTTTAAAACCATCAGTCCTATATATCCAGCTTAGGAAGTTGCTTTTACTATTGGGACCTGTTGAGTTGTCCTTTTTCTCCACAGCCACTTTCATTTGGCTGTATTTTTAATTATGCCATGTGTCAAGATAACATTGGGCTATCTTCTAGCCCTTTGGAGCACATTTTAATAAAAACATTTTATGTGCTAAATTAGGGTAGATTAGATTAATGAACCATGGTTTTGGCTTACTGTTTCGCAATGCATGACACCCCCCCCCCAATAGAACAATGTGCAACAGTACCCAAGTTTGAAAAGAGGTCATGAATAGCAGGGAAAACACTTACTGTTTTGTATATGTTGAAACCCACCCCTCTGCTGCCCTCTAATGGTATGTTTTACATTCTTTGGTTATTGTGCAACTTTTATCTTGGGATAAACAGTATTATTAAACTGAAGGTGTAAGTTAAAGGGAGTTTCTTACTGTCAGCTGATGTGGGGCCGTTTTATTTGTATGTTACTTTTGGGGGGATTTTATGGGTAGGGCTTCAGAATAGTGTTCTAAAAGAGCTTACTTATGGTTTCTCTCAAATTCATTGTAGCGGTTTCAAGTGATTGTATGGATATTGGATGTTTAATCTTTACCACTTGCTTTGTGTTGACACATTTTTAATTTTTACTGTTAACTCATGAACTGTTTATTTTAGGAATAATGCAAATCCAGCCTTCATCCAGTGATGAGAAGAGCAGCAGTATGATAGGAAAATTTGCTGAATGTGCTTTAAATAATTGCTTTATCTTTTCTAGTATTTCATAGGCTTTGCATGTCATGGTACACTCCTAATTATGCATTCTTTGGTTTCCAAATCTTAACCCAAGACATTCTATGTTAACTGATTGGTAGGCTAAGAAAGCTATGCTGTTTCTTCCCGCCCCTAATTTTTTTGAGTAAATTATGGGAAAATCAGTGCTGTTTCCCATTTCTCCGGATGAGGCAGAGCTCTTTTGGACAGCATAACCTAACTTTAAAGCTAGATAGAATGACTATTAAGAATATTTAGAAAATGCAAATTTATCAAAATTATTTTATGGCAAATTATAAATCTAATTCATTAATAGTATGCTCAATTTTGTACTTACTTTTGGGAAAACTTCAAATTGGGTACTTTTAAGATTTAATCAGCATAGAAGCAAGAAGCTACATAGCTAATGAAAGCTGAGATACACTTTCATAAAAGCAGGAAATTCATAAGAGCATGTTTTTCCCTTTAAAAATGGTAGGATGTTATATGAAGATTTTTACTCTCAGCTAAGCTGCAGGAATAAAATTTCAAAATCCCTGACTTTTGTAGAATTCTCACTGTCAAATTCTCACTTGTGAGAAAAGCTATTATCTTTTGTTTAAATTCTGATGGAAGAGTTTAATTCCTTTCAAAGGATATGAAAAATTCATTGGAAAGTATAATGTGTATACATTTCAAAGGCTCTCAGTTATCTGGACTAAAGGCATTGTTCTCACTGTGGCCAGATGAATGGCAGTGTTCTGTACATGAATCATGCTATATTTTAAATCAGGACATCACTTAGGTATTAATGTGTGTACAGATTTTTGTTTTGGAAATTTTTTTTTGGCCTAAATAAATGTTATAAATTTTATATAAAGTGTGTATTGTCTACTTTGATTTTAGACATTTGCTTTAAAAGTTAATACTAATGTAAGATTCAGATTCCTTAGTTATCCTCTTGTAACAATTGCTTTCTGAAGAAGACCACTGGTTTACTGCAAAAGTTTTCTAGTGCTGGAACTCCATTTATTCACTTCATTAAATACTTAAGCTAGGTACTGTTTAATTGTTGGAATTTATATCATTTATACATCCCTCAGGGAAATCACAGTTATGTGGAGAAGAAGCAGTATTAAATAAATAGATAATGTTGACAAAAAAAATCCAGCCTAAGAGAACATTTCTGAGTGTAATTCAGGGGTCAGCAAACTGCAGCTCGTGAGCCACATGCGGCTCTTTGGGTATGTACATGTGGCTCTGAAGTTAAACTGAAAATGAAAATAAAACTATCATAGTTTCATTTATAAAATTTTTAAAGGATATTATTTACATAATGGTGATTTCATTTGTTTTATGGCTCTCGAATAATTTTTAAATTGTTGTGAGGAACAGGATTGGCTCTTCCATCTCAAAAGTTTGCCGACCCCTGGTGTATTTGAACAAAACTGACAACAATTGCTGGGAAGTAAAGTCAACAGATTGAGAAAATGCTCTGGAAAATGGCTGTTGTGCAACTTATTTTATACATTAGAATCAAAGGAGGAGGATTGCATGAAATACATTGGTTATAGATTAAGGAGGTGGGAGAAAGCAAAGGGGGGGAAATCTCTGGGATTGGATACAAAGTAAAATGGAGAGACATACAGTTCTTTTACATTGGTGGTACAGGATAGTTAATAGCATTTCATAGCACATAGAGATAATATTAGGAACAAGATAACAATGAGGGATTTTGTAGTTTTCTGCTCTGGTGTGGTGGGTTGTGCCCCCTGAGGGGTCCAGAAAGGGATTACTCTGACATTCCAAGGGTATATTGTCTTAGATACAAAAAGACAGACAGGTTCACTTAAGGTAAAGATTAGCTTTTGTCAAGGAAGCTACAGGCCAAGGATTTGACTTCCTGCCATGGCCCACCTTAGTTGGGAATTTTTATGTTCACGCCATCCTATGGTTATTTTCAGTCTCCTGAGCTTGTCAAGTTTAACATGTGGCCCCTTTCCATCCACAATAAGTAAATATTATTTAACATTGCTTAACAGAGCAGTCCACAGTGCTTGTTATAGAGGCACAGAAACCACACCTAATCTGAACTGCGCACCCATTAGACAGCCCAAGAAGACTTCCTAGAGAACATAATATCTGAATTTGCATTCATTCATACAACTATTATAATTAATATAATGTATATTAAGTGCATTTAGGGAGATTACCAAGAAACAAAGTGCAATATAAGAACCCCATAGCCCAGAAGAATATGTAGTGACTTTAGTTTCAGAAACCTCATTTTATATTTGAAGA